TGATTTTCTCTCTCTGAAATCAATAAAGATATATTTTAAAAAAAAAAAAAAAGTTAGCCTACCCCATATTTTCATGTCTGTCAAAGTTGTTCCTTAAAATGAATAATTAAATTTCATCTGTTGAAATAAAAATGGTTTCCAAAATAATAAGACAATGAACACCTTTACTTAGATGTCATATATTTACAGAATCATGTTTCACAGAATTACGTTTCCTCTCTATATTTTGTTAAAATCACTGAGGAAGAGGAAAGATATTTCATCCCACATATCTGAACAGTTTAAAAGCATCCATATATTTTCCAAGATACTCTCTTTACACTATTTTTTTTCAATCATGAAAAACTAACCTCCTCTTAATTTAGTCTGAGAATCATCTGGTTTCCCTGCACTTAGTTTACTATTAATCCACTTTAACTTTTCAAGTTATACTTTAAAAATCAGAAACAATAAAGCTCTGATAAAAGCACCAAAGTCTAATGGAAAAATAAAATTGAAAGTCAAAATACAGACAATATAAAGGTCCAGCATATGCCTTGTCCCAATTAGGGACCGCACAGGCACTTTGAGAAAAGGAAGACTAGATGCTTACTGGACACACCAAGCTCTAACTCACATCAGTTTAAAACTGATTTCATCTTCCTTACTAACCAGTGGTCTCTTCTGACTTTCTAAATTAGTTACTGGCACGCTCTATTACCTGCTTTTAAAAATCTTGAGTGGTTTGTTTTCTGTCTTCTTTACCTCTATAATTAGAGATCAAACGCTGTCAACTCTTTTTCTTGCTCACCTGGTTCCTTCCTCCCTCCAGGTCGGACTCTAGTTTTATCTTAGGCTGACACAACTGCAACAGTATCTTAATGTCTCCCTACCTCCAATTCTTGTGTCATTTCAGTCACATTGGACACTGTATCAAAATAATTCTCCAAAAATACATTTTGTGTACATCATAACTCTCTGTGTCTGTTCAAAAACACTCAACAAAAATAAAAGGGAAATGTACATAGAAAAATATTTGCAGCAAATTACTACTGAATAGTATTTAATAAACTCAAAAGATTTAAAAAATATGAAGACTCTAATACCTAAATGGACAAAAGTCTTGAATAGACAACTTGTGTATTACTAACAACCAGTAAAATCCACCTCACTAAAAAAGAAAAAGAGCTCAACATATTTTTCACCTATTAAATTAGCAAAAATGATTATAATTATACACTACACAAAGCTGGCAGTTAAACTCACAACGATGGTGACAGTGTAAATTATAACTCTTTTGGAAAACAACATGGCAATGTTTTAAGAGTCATAAAAATATTCATACAGTGACCTTTTAAATCAATCCTAAAACAACAGTTCAAAAGACAGAAAATACTATATGCACATAAATGATAATTATAACACAATACTGAAGAAGGAGAAACCTAAATATGGCCAGGCAACAGAAAATGAAGTTAATGGTAAAACAATTTGATGGAATATTTTCAGTTATTAAAATTATTATGGAGACTGCATAGTCATATTTAATGTTAAAGGAAGAAAAATAAAAATTACTCTAAGACTAAAGAAATTATATGCGTACAGACAGGGAAGAAAACTTTTAAAAATCTAATGTTGGGGTGGGATTAAATATAATTTGTTAGTTCCATTTTGATTTGTAAAATTTGAAAATAAAACAAAAATTTTAATCTTCATTTACTGTTCACAACCCAGCTTTCAAGGCTCTCTACAGGTTCCTAAATCGGTATAGAGAATATGCACCCCACATAATTCTGATGTTCAGCTAATTCTAGAAACACTGACAAGTTGGCCTCACACAATTTTTCCAATGTAATCTTTAGTCAATCATTTTCTCCAAACTGGTTTACTATCTCAAACATAGCTTTCCTTATATAATTGTATTCTTGATCACAACCTTCCACCCACTTAGAATGTCTTCCTTTCTTAAACTTTAACATATTACATCTCACTAACTCTGAGAAGTCTGCAATGAACACTAAATTTCTTTCTATTCAGTATTATCAAATAATTTGTCCTCTTAAAAGCAATGAGATTGATTATACTGTATAATAAACTTTTCATAAATCTATTATTCTTGTGAGCCATAATTTAAATCTTTAAAAAGTTAATCTAAAATGATTGAATCTTTTGAAATAACTATTTTTTACTTACTTTCCATATGTTTAATTATGTTCTTCCTTTTAATGACAGTAAGCTCCTTGAGTACAGATCCTTGCCATGTAGGAATGCCACTAGGTAACCTAGATCAGCTGAATCCAATCCTAAAATATGCTGTCATTCTAGTTTGAATTATATGTGAAAGAAAACCAGTACCAATGACTCCATGTGGCCATAAAATCAGCAGTGACACCTAATATGGCAAAAGATCATACAGACATTGCAAAGGTTGCTTTGGTTACAAATAAGCAAATTTTAAACTTTAAGACAAAACAAAAATACCCCCAAAATCACTAGGAATCATCAGGCGGCTACAATCAACACAGCAGTGTTCTACTTCTTGACACAGACATTTACAGAAACAGCTGTACAGTGGAGCAAATTCTATCATTTTTCAAAAGAAATGTATGTGATAGTAACACGACCAATCTTGATTACTAAAAAATAGTTAAGTAAAACTGCTTACCAGAAACATAATTTTCAACAGAGAGCAAATTCAGGTATTTCAAAACTGGAACACCTTCCTTCATTTTCCACAAAATGAAGCTCACTGTAAAAGACAAAGCCCACATACTCAGAACACAGAATGTTTTAAATTTTCCATAAAAATTTCTAAACACGTTCACAGGTGAGATCTCAAGTATTTTTGAAGGTTAAAGCAGCATCAGTGGAACATCATGAATTTTCATAAAAAGACTACCGTTAGAACCTAAGTTAGCTTATTTTACATATTTTGTATACAAAAAGTGCATACAAAGTCATAAGAAGTAATGACAGGGCATCTATCATGTATCAGGTAGGCAAAGGTAACAATGATTAAAACCTCTGTTGCTTCTGTCTGGAAGTAGTGTCTCAAACTGGGGAGAACCAAGCAACTGCTAAGTAAATATTACGAGTCATGTAAAGGGTCCTTGTAAGGGTATGAAAGCACAAAAAGAATGCACCTAAGGATGGAAAACTTCAGGAAAGGTTACAGGAAATGTAAAACACTTAAAGCTCAACTAACTATACCATAAAAACAATTTGTTTGTTTTTAGCAACCTCTGTGAAGCAGAATGTTTCACTACACAAATGCCTAACTAGAGTAAAAAAATAAATTAGTTTTAAGAAATTATTCCTAAGGTCCAACAAAAATTCTCAAATTTATTCTACTAAATCTGTGACTTAAAGACTGTAATAATTCTACTTGAATAAACAGAGACCAGGAGAGAAAGTTAAAAAAATAAAACTAAAGAAAAAAAAGCAGAAAATGTAATAAAAGCAAAAAAGACAACAAAAAATGTAAGCACAGTAAGAGCAAAAGCTTTTTGATGGACAGCTTTACAAAGATTAATCTAAGCCTTAAATGTACAATCCCTTTGGCCTTATAGTTTCACTTCCAGGAACTTATTCTAAAGAAATAAACAGGGATGTGAAGGAAAACCTTGATGTCTAGAAACTTTAGCCATAGATGCCAGTTCTTAAGCAAAATCTTGTATAATATGTAGGAGAATATTCAGACATATTGCTGTAATAAAAAACGTGAAGAGATGGGGCTATATGAATTATTGTGCACCTATCCTACAGAACACGATGCAGCCATAAAAATGCTTTAAGAACAAAATATTCCCTATGTTCCCATTGTTTTCAATAAAGAAAAAAACATAGGCCCTAGCCAGTTTGGCTCAGTGGTTAGAGCGCTGGCCCGTGGAACTGAAGGGCCTCAGGTTGATTCTAGTCAAGGGCCCATAGATCCTGGGGCTGGGGATCAGTTGCAGGCTTGATCCCCAGCCCCAGTCTGCACCTGTGTGTGGAAGGCAACCAGTCCATGTGTCTCTCTCACATCGGTGTTTCTCTCTCTCCCCCTTCCACTTTCTCTAAAAAGCAATGGAAAAAATATCCTAGGGTGAGGATTTAAAAAACAAAAGAAAAAAGAAAAAGAACATGGGTGACAAAATGAGCAGGACTCAAATGATCTTTACCTTGTAAAACAAAACCAATGAAAAATCCCGGCAGGGCATGGCTCAGCAGTTGAGCATGCACCTCCGATCACCAGATTACGGTTCAATTCCCTGTCAGGACACATGCCTGGGGTTGCAGACTGGACCCCAGTCGGGGGTGTGCAGGAGGCAGCCGATCAATGACGACTCTCTTAGCACTGATGTTTCTATCTCTCTCTCTGAAATTGATAAAGATATTAAAAACAAAAACAAAAACCCAATGAAAAAGTGAAACTCTTTTGTATAGTATAAACTGTAATTACTTTTTGGTGAAGGGAATACAAGAGATTGTTGTGTTCTTCTTTTGGCTTTTTAGTAATTTCCAAATGCCCACTGTCATGTTATCTGGATAGTAACAGCTGAAAGTTACAGCTGAAAGTTGTGTAGTGAAATTAGAGATTAATACCCCTGCAAAGTTCAGTAGTACAGTTTTATAATTTCCCTAAGGGGGAAAAAAATCACTTCACTTCTAAATTCTTATTGAAATATCTTTTTTATATGCCAGTTTTTAAATTGGGGGGGAAAATCATAAACTTGTTCATATTCCATGATAAAAATATTAAGTACTTAAAATTCTAGAACTCACCTCAGTAACACTCGCATATCTGTCACTGAGAGGTCCTGTTATCTTCAGACCAACTGCCAACAAAACCCAATAAATTATTAAATCACTTAACCATAGTGTTCAAAACAGGTATTACGAAGATAATTTAAGAAGCTATCCAGATCACTGCTACTGGGCCACTCAACAGAAATACCAACATATATTTCACTTTCTCAAAAAGTCATCTTGAAAAAAATCACTGTTCTGAATGGGAAATTGATTCGGCTTTCCTTAAACTGTTCTTTTTGAGTGAATGTAGTCAACGCGGATTATCGACGATATTTTCCATTTCCCTAATGATTTCATTCTTTACGACAACTTGCCAATTAATACTCCATTTCCACCATTTCAAATGTGTTTTTGTTTCATTTAACAGAACACAAGATTTGGCTAAGAGAACAAGACCAATGGCTGCCCTGAACTAGAGGTTGGCCTGTCGGGAGGTCCTTTTTATCTAAGGTGTTTTCGGTCCCTGCGAAACCGCGGCTGCAGTTTCCTTTCAAAAAGCAGCATAAGCCTCGTGCAGCGCGGAACAGCTGCTTGCCTGAGGCCAGAGCAGCAGCGTCAGGGCTGGCTCGGGAATTCTCCGCATTCCGAAACCCGGAGCTGAAGAGCCAGAGGAGCACGCGGAAACACCTGTCCCCACGCACCGTGTGTCTAAGAACCTTGCCTTCCCCGTCTTAATTAAGGAGGCGCCCACGGCCAATGAGACTTGGCTGAATATATGACAAATTCCCGGAACACAGGTGGAGCAAACCCCACAAAACCTCTAAGCTCTCTAGAGGAGCCCAAGGACTAGCGCGAAGAGACTTCCCCCTCCGCCTCCTTCTCTCAAGGCGGGAGAGGAAGCCTCGCCCCCTTTCATCCCGCCCCCTACTTCCCACCCAGACGCCAGAGAACTTCGCTATGGCTGCCCTGTGGCCCCTTCACTTCCGGTGCCGGTGCCGCTAGAGCTGCGCCATCCCCCAGCCGATCGAACCACCGCAGCTTCCAACTGACCTTTTAAACAGACCCGCGACTCCTCTGACCTTCACTAGGTGCTGTCCTGGAGGGAACCGCGGGCGGGTACCGCACTGAAAAGAACCTACGGGAGAAAGACTTAGCTGACGTCTCGCCAGAAACACGAAATGCGATAGAGCTGCGGCCACCGCTGCCTAGACAAAATGGCGCCGAGAAGCAGGCTTAGCGCATGCGCCTTGGATAGTCCCTGCCCCGCCCCCGTGCTAGTCTTGGCAGCAGCTCCGGGTTCGGTTTCCATGGGACACTCCACTGCCAATCCTCGTGCGGAACCGCTCTTCCTGACCCCTCAGTTTACCAATCAGTGCTCAGTCAAGCACATCCGGAGTCTTTTCAACCAATCCTTTTGCAGGACTTGCTTACTCAATACCTGATTCTCCAGTAATATTAGGCTTCGGAGACAGCCAATCACAAGTGGAAGATGTCCTACCTGCTGTTTTTCGCACCAATCCGTTAAGTTTCAGAGCTACATCCAATGAGGACGGCAGGCAGCGAGCTCCAATCCGGAGCTCTTCGGCGTCATGAGCAGCCAATAGGAGTTCGTGTAGAAGCGAGTCTGCTCAACAGCTTGTTATTTGGTGGATTGTGGCAGTAAATCGGGCTAGTGGGGAACCGGGCGCAGGAACTGCCGCGGCGGCCAGGAGTGGTGCTGCCCAGCCGGGGGCCCACGGGGGTCAGTGGGGCGGAGGACTCGGGAGCTGACACCACGCACTTCACCCGCAGTTGGTAGGTGGGGAGGAGGGAAGTGGGGGATACTGAATGGATCAAGCGGCAGTCGCAGCTGCTGCTGCTGCCCGGGGTCCCGGTGCAGTTGGAAGCTTTGGAGGTGGGGAAGGGGGTGCTAGGCTAGCGGTGCGACGAGCGCAGGGGAAGGGGCAAGTCGCGGAGCAGGGGCAGCAGCAAGTGCGGGAACCGCCGCCGCAGCCGCCTGCTCGGCCGCTTCCCCGGGAAAATGGCTGTGGGACTGGCCGCGCCGCTAAGTTTGCTTCCGCGCCGTGAAGGGCGGGCTGCTTTGGGGAGCCTGCCCCCAACTCCGCGGCGCGTCGTGCCCTGTGGAGTCCATGGCAGGAGCCCGAGGGGCTGGAGGCAGGTACCTCTCTGGGCTGTACAAAAAGTTGAGGCGGGCGCAGGGAGGAGGCGGCGGCTGCCGCTGTGCGGCTCCCCTCCCCTCCCACACACTGTCCGGGCCACCTCCCTCCTCCTCTCCGCCCCCCCAGCCCCCTCCTCTGCCGCGGGTCTCCCCTCACCCTCGCTCCTCCCGCTGAAGGCCTCGGCCCCTGCCCCTTCGGGCGAAGAAGCGCTCCTTCTTCCTGACATGGTGCAGAGCGGAGGAAGGAGAGCAATGGCGCCGTGACACCGCGGGCCCGGGGCGGGCCGAGGGGGCCGAGCGGCGGAGGCGGGGCGCGGGCCGAAG